AAGTGGTGTGGAGTACAATTAATTGTCACCGAGTATTGTTTGTTTCCTTATACTCAGCACTGAGAGTATCCTGTGTGGGGTCAGAAGGAAACCTACTCCTGACAGTGCAGAGGCAACAGCTTCCAAGTATCTGGCCATCCTTGCTTTTGGAAGACAAGCTGTTTAACTGACAGGATCCATTTTGTCACACTGTCTTCCTTAAGTCTTTCACACTTAGTAGATATTTGTCAACAAATGTGTTTTTCCTGGCAATTCCCTCTGGGTTCATTGTAATGTCAGGGAACCATCTATGTGGCTGACAAGTCCTCTAAGAAGGGGACGTTGCCTAGCTACTTTCCAAAGCAAAGCACTGTAAAGCCAATTTCTTACCACTGCTACATTCCTACTATGTTATTTCATTTAAATAAATAAAAAACTTCTCTGATTTTTTTTATCTCAACTTGTTCTAACCAGAACGCTAACTAGTGTCCTTTCCCTTCGCAGACATGTTCCTTAGACATGGGGCCTGTATCTGCTCTCTGCTGTATCTGCTTCATAAACTCTGGACTGTAATCTGACTTCTAGATCTTTCTCCTAACACTGCTCATCACTCTGTAACAGGCCCTTCAGTCTCTTGTCTTTGGCATCTCTCCAGAGCTCTCACACCTGAGTCTGTATCATCTGATCTCACCAACGGCTTCTTCCAAGCCAAAAGCTGGTCTTGCTGGACCCAAAGAAATACCACACAGAAAAGGACATCTGTCACCTGTAATGCCAGCAGAATGAAGATTGGTCCCAGGAACAAACCCCTGCCACTACTCCATGGCCACGTTTACATCCCAAATTAATTGGAACTCAACACAAATGTTAACTCTGCAAGTTAGGGAAAGAAAGTGTAGGACAGGGTTCTTACCATTTTGAAGACAACAAAGATTTCTTAGACCAGATAAAAAGGTATTACCATCAAGAAAGTCAAGTATAAAAATACACAAATTTTTAAAAGCCCTCTTAATGTGAAAACATCATTAATAACACTCATTGTCAAAGTGTAGGCTCTAAGAAAATGTTTCTAGTAACCCAAGACTCCCACATAGCATGCAAAGAACTTCCACAACTTACTAAAAACAGCAAAAATAAAATAAAATGTGAATGACCAGAGAAGTAACCAATAAGTACGTGTAAAATAATTCGGCATCGTCAGTCACTAGGGAAGAGGTGATTTAAAGCCTATGAGCAGAATGTAATCGAGAAGGAAACTGATAGGAGCAACTGGACAGACAGCCAACAGGATGTAGGATGGCAACTGGACAGACGGCCAACAGGACATAAGACGGGATTGATGGAAGACGTCATTCTGTAAATCTGTCTCTCTTACTGGTTGTTGAACAAAGCACTTTTGGCTAATAGAGAAGCAAGATAGGTGGGACTAGGTGTCAAGGAGGATTCCGGAGAAAGATAGGCAGGGAGACACCATGTAGACTGCCAGAGTAAGATGTCCAGACCCTTTTCTCCTGTAAGAGAAATACTTAGATTAACAATTATGGGTTAAATACTTAAGTCAGAGATAGCCAGTAAGAAAGAAGCAAATGGCCAACAGCTTCATAATTAATATAGTGTCCTGTGTGTTATTTGGGGGTTCATACAGCACAACAGGGCCCAGGCAGATGGCAAGGAAGACTACACTCTACAAATGGTGTCAGAAGTGAGATCACAAATTTCCACGTAGAATGACAAAGTAACAGAGAGAAGCACGGCTTCTTGTTAGCAGCATTTTTCTCAGGTTGGCTCTGTTTTGCAAGAGACAAACAGAGACTTCCATGGCCAGTGTGGTAAACTGACGCCTGCCATCTTGGATAAGCTACAGTTTAAACAGCCTCGGTTTTAGCAGATAAGACACGTGGCCAGAAAAACATAAAGATTTACAGCAAAGTCAGATTCAGATGAAGAAAAACCTCTGAAGGTTTACAGTGTGTTTAAAACTTACGTAGGCTTAAGAGTAAAAGAAACAGGATAGTGGTTAAAAAAATAGAGAAGTGGGCTGTGTTGGCACACACTGGTAAGATTTGCTCCAGGGACAGAGGGAGGTGGATATCCAGAGAAACCCTGTCTCAGAGAAATAAAAAAATAAATATGAAAGTAAAAGAAATAGAGTAATAATAATAGATAAATAAATAAGCCACATAAAGATGAAAATACACAGAAAGTCTAGATACTGTATGCTATTGTGTTTTTCAGCGTTTTGATTGCTCTTAAAGAAGGAACAACTGCTAAAGTACACTTTATTATGAATGCTACTGAATTAATTTGACTTATACCCTTTAAAAATGACTTGACTTCAAAATTTGAGTATAAGGATATGGTACTTTTAAAAGATACTTATTTCTGTTTCCACAGAAAATGAAAGCTGTGGATTCCTTCCAAGTTTCTGTGATTTGATGAACCAAGACCCCCCAGAAGCAGTGGCCCAACTGATTCAACATCTAAAACATCTAAGGTGATGCAACCTTACAAAAACAATGACTTAGCCAGATTTCTGAGTTTTGTCATGATCCCCATGGTATGGACAGCACCCCCTATCAGCAGGAAGCAATTTGGAATGAGCAATGTCCAAATTCCCATATTGTTTATAAATCTTTGTTTTCATTTGAATGGGGTTACTTACAATTGGTTAATGATCACAAACAACTTTATAATGTAAAAGGGGGTTAAGTATGGAAATGAATTCTTTGTATTGGTATGGTTTTTAATTTATTGATACAAATTCAAGGTCAATTTCGTGATGTGTATATTTCTCCTCTTGACTAAGTATTGTGCTCATACTGATCTTTTAAAATGTAATACATAATTAAATACAGATTATAGATAGTTACTTATAGTAGAATTTATAGTTAGGTTTTCTAGATATAGAGATATATGTAAGATAGATAGTCTTCTAACCTTTTAAAGACCTTCAGAAAATGGCATTTAAAATAGTTTGGGTTTTTCTTGACAATGAGAAATGTCTGCTCCTGGCAGCACCAATTACATCTAAGAGGAAGATGGGCATCAAAGAAACTCGTTATGGAGTTTGCTTTCAACATGGCAAGATTAGTCATTTGGGCAAGAAACTGCTCTTGCCTGGAATGTTTGACTGTTGCTGTATAATCTGGAAATGCAGGACCCATAGGAAAGTGACTGCTGAACTCAAACATTCCTTCAGGGTTCCTGATTCATGGAAGATTCTACCAGACTTTCTGCAGGACACAGGAAAATGACCAACAGACTGCCAATGCAGATGGACAGCTTAAAATTTCCTGTTTTGCTGAGAAGTCTTCCAGACACATTGTGGCCTATGGGCTGAAAATGGATGCCCCAACGTTACAGAGGAACTTCGGATGATTGTCCAGGTAGCAAGTTGTCTCTGTCAGTCCTAGTTTTTATATATTATCCTTCTGTGGTCTTTGATGGAGTTGAAGACAGATAGTTATAATCATAGTTTTCCTTAGTTATGCTAAAAGATAAGTTACATATAAGACTTTAGACTCACAATGATAGGATAGATGATATTTTCTTTAAATCTTACTAAATGTAAATGGACTAAATATTGTAACTATAGTTCTTACTTGATAATTCTGTTACATATAATTTAACTATGTTAAAGTTAAAACCTTTCTTTTTATTTAGACAGAAAAGAGAAGATGATGGGAGATGTCATTCTGTAAATCTGTCTCTCTTATTGGTTGTTGAATAAAGCACTGCTGGCTAATAGGGAAGCAAGATAGGTGGGACTAGGAGTCAAGGAGGATTCTGGAAAAGAAAGGCAGAGTAAAACACCATGTAGACCTCCAGAGTAAGAGGTCTGGACCCTTTTCTCTGGTAAGAGAAATAATTAGATTAACAAATATGGGTTAAATACATAAGTCAGAGATAGCCAGTAAGAAACCAAGCAAATGGCCAACAGCTTCATAATTAATATAGTGTCCTGTGTGTTATTTGGGGTTCAGACAGGGCCCAGACAGATGGCAAGGAAGACTACACTCTACACGGGATCAACATTTGAGGAGCCTCTGAGCATGTTCTTGTGACACTAAACACAGCAAAACCAGCATCTCTGCTTCTCCACATTGTCCCAAAGAAAACGCTCCTGTATGTACACCTTTTTCTAAGAATGCTCACTCAGCCAGCAAGTAGCCAAAGCTGAGTGTTGGGGGAGGGCACCAAGAGCATGATTTGCCCATCAAAAGGTTGACCAGCTACTTCACAGAATAAAAAGGTGCGATGCATACAGTGATGGCCCTCAGAAACGCTGGCTGGACGAAGGAGGAGCATGCCCTTTGTAATTCCATGCATCTGCTCAGAAATTGGTTACTACTGCTGTACTGTCATAGGAATGAAACCACGGGCAGGAGCATGAAGAACTCTCTGGAATGAACATATTCTGTATCTTGGCAGACATGTTAATTCCGTTAATATATGTATTTGTTAAAATTCACTGCTCTATACAGGCGAGAGCCATGGATGTCACTGAAAACTGTAATTCGAGGAAAAGGTTTTTTTAATTTTTTCCCAAAAGCAGAACTTCCTCTTGTGGTACTTTCTAACATCTCTTGTAACTCCTCAGCCCTGACCTTGCATCTTCCCGGTGGTGTCCCTTCAATCCGTGGGCCGCCACGGGCCGGCCTTCTTCCCCCTAGTCTTTTGCTCTCTCATCCTGGCTTTACTCATTGCAAAGACATTCACTCTCAGGACACACTAGTGGAGACATTTCTCACCGAAGGAGGAAAACAGTCTTTCCACAGCCAGAGCCCCCACCTCAGTGGCTCACAAGCTGCCCCCACCCTCAATGCTCTACCTCAAGCCTACCCTGAAGGCAGAATGGCTGAGTCACATTCCTGGAGGTGTGGTGTGGTGTGGGATGTCCTTCTGTATATATGTTTCTCTTACTTGATGATGAATAAAACACTCATTGGCCATTAGCCAGGCAGGAAGTGTAGGCGGGGCTAACCAACCAGATGAGGAGAATGCTGCGAAGAGAGGATGGAGAGAGAAGCCACGTAGCCGAGGAAGGAGTAACAGGTCCGGACCCTTCTCAGGTAAGTTAAGACCACGTGGAAATACTTAGATTAATAGAAATGGGCTAGCAATTAAGAGAGAGCTAGCCATCAGCCAGTTTATAGTTAGCATGTCTCTGTGGGCTTGTTCAGGTCTAATCAGTTGTGGGGCTGGGCAGAACAGAAACGTATGCCTTCGGTGGTGATACTCAAAGATGGTTCAAGCAGCGTGGTCTGCAGCACCATGGGAAAACCCTGCCAAGATGTATTCTCACTGTCTGGAAACACATCGTTGCCTCTTTTGTTTCCAATCCTGTCACAGGCAGATGGCAAATCCACTGCAGAGTGATCACAACTGATTCCAGTTTCCCAGAAGCATCTAAGTGCAATGGTTGCTCAGTGAATGCCAATGAAGTATAACAACCGTGAGCTCTGGTAAAGGAACTGGGCCTCTAGCACGGCGAGATCAGAACATGGAACCTTGCCACCTCTGTCAGTTAGGATTAGGAAGCCTCTGTCTGTGTAAGGAGAACGAAGAGTGTTTATGCTCAGGACTAGAACTAGCGAAACTTAATCACACCAGGTCCTGAGTTCTCTTTTCCTTGGAAGAAGAGTACTAACTGAGACCCCTCACCCCAAAGGAATGCCATTGGAAACAACTAGAGAATGCACTTTTCTTCCTTAGCATGTATTGCTCGGCAAACAGCTAGGCCAGTGCTCAAAGGGGTCAAACTTTAAAAAGAACACGACAAGGGTCTGGCTAGAACATTTCCAATAAGTGTTATACGGGCCAAACATTTCTATTGTCCCTGTTCTTTTTTTAAAAAACCAAAGGCACTGAATGGCTCATTCTAACTGCCATGAGCACTTTGTCACTTTTCTGAGGCAGCGCCTTAATGAGTTAAGAGCAGAAGTGTATGCATGCACCATTATTTCCTTCAGTCTACTCCTAAAGCTATGCCTAAGGTTAGCATTTTAACATAATATGTATTTAGGGGGCAGGAAAGGTAGCTCAGTGGTTAAGAGCATAGGCTGCTCTACTCAAATTTGATTCCTGGAAGTCACATAGAAGCTCACATCTGCCTGTAACTCCAGTTCCAGGGAACCAGTGTCCTCTTCTGACCTCAGGCACACACATGGTGCACATACATGCATTCAGGCAAAACACACACATGCGCGCGAGCACACACATACATACGCACTCATACACACACAGGCACATACATGGTACACCAACATGCATTCATTCACACACACACACACACGCACACACTTTTAGTTAAAAAAGCATTATTTACCTATTTGGTGTGTTACTACACCACTGGAAAGTGTTTCACTAGGTAAATTGTTAATGAAAGTCGGTCCACATGAATCAGTCTTCATTCGGGTAGCAAGCCTTTTATAACAGAAACCAGTGAAGCCTCGTGGAAGACACACGGTTGGATTTGATCTTGAAGGGTCTTTCCATCGAGCTATACTGCTGTTGGAGGCCTGGCTTGACTGCACAGCACAGGCAGGAGACGTCACGGGGCTCTCAGCTTTTCTCCCCCCACCCCCTAATTCTTAGGAATGCCCTGTCCCTCACTCTCCTTGCTGCTATTTCCCTTGGCGGTTTTCTCTGCTGTTCTATCGTGCCCGTCTCATTCCAGCCCTCCCCGGGGTTCCTTGACATGGTCTCCCTTGCAGGAGGGTACTGACCCGGGTTCTCTTGACCCTAGCAGACCCCGAATGAGCCCTCACCGCCACCCCTGCTGCTCTCTAATAACCTCTAGAGAACGCGGCTAATGGAAGCTCAGTCGTGGAATTTCTCGGTTCTCGCAAGTCCATGAGAACCGAGAGGGCCATTCACTTCTGTATTTCTACAGTGGCGCAACCAGGAATAAGTTCTGAATCGATGAATGAATGAATGAATGAATGAATGAATGAATGAGCAAGCGAAAGAATGGGGAAAATGCTAGCTGTGAATAAGAACCAGAGCGTTGCAGTCAGCTTAGATTAGATACAAAACAGTCGGAGGGATTGAAGACGAAAGGTTGTGCCGAAGCTTAAAATGGTGGCCTCGATGCCGCTGTCTCCGTGAGCGCGGACAAAAACTGCTACGCATCTACCGCAAGAAGCCTGTGTGTTCTTTGGACTTTGTCTGCGCCATGCTCACAGCCGCACTTGGGGAAGATTAGAGTGAGCCCAGCGAGGGCGTGTAGATGACGGAAAGCCCGCAGCAGTAGCAAGAACGCCAGTGGCGACTTCCGGGGTCCGCTGCTGCCAATGACACACTCTGCACCACCTCACTGGCTTTGCCAATCCAATTCGTGGGAGAAGTCACAACTCCTCATTCTACAGCGAAGAGATTTAAAGACTAAAGAGATTAAACAGCTTATTGATGGGAGAAATGGGAGGAGGGCATGGTCAGAAGGGAATCAGGGGTCACGAGTTTTCTCTGCTGTGATGTCAGCCTTCAGAGCTCTCTGTGGGTCGGGCTGGCGACTGCTCTGCCAGGCTGAATGTCAGGAAGGCACGGATATCAACCCTAGATGGACGGTCCCAACACCGGTGTCTGACGACCCTGAAGTTTCTTTCTTCCGTCACAGACCGGGAGCATCTGCACAGATGCTGTGGAGCCCGGGCCTAGGGGAGGGTTTCATGCAGGGATTACAGTGCCCTGCTCAGTCTGTACTGGACACGTCGCTTTGACTGCCTTAAACCAATGCGATTGGACTGCACGTGTAGCTGCCTTGACTTGTCCAGGAAGAGCTGTTGTGGAGCATCTTGGACAAGAGAGAACCTGCCACTGCTAGGAGGCTGTGCCTAACCAAAGCTCGGGGATGCACTGGACAGAACAGCTGGGGTCTGGCCATGTGCTTTCAGCACTTAAAAAAATGCTTCATTCTTTGACAGGTCTGACATGAATAGGATGAGTTTTAGCCCTTGTCACCCGTCATTGTTTTCTCTCACCCGCCTCCTCCTGATGACCCTTCTTCTTCCTAGTAAGTCTTCTTCCTGTGTGCGCACATGTGTGTGTGCATGTGTGCCTGTGTGTGTATGTGTGTGCACATATGTGTTCATGTGTGTGTGAATGTGTGTATGTGCATGTGTGTGTCTGTTCGTGTGTGTGTATTTGAGAAAGAGAGAGACTCAGTGAGCTTAAATAGGGTGCGTGAGAACGGGCCCATCAACATTCCCTCACGAAAGGGAGAAGGGCTCATGAGACCCCCCCACCTCTCCGTGAGGGGTTCCCAATAGTGGTGATGATGAAAAAAAAAGTGTCACTCTCTTCAGTGGTATAACCACTGATAAGTTTCCCAACCTTCATTCAATACCCTGTCACCCACGATCACACGAAACAATCCCATTTAAACACAGTGGCCATGTTTTCTGACCGCTATTCCTTCTCACCGCTCCTCTCCTATGAGAAGCCTACGCACAAAAAGACAAACAGGCGTTGTTTACAGTATCACTGCTGAATGTCAGCAACAGCTCACATAGTCACGGCTTTCACCGCTAACCCCCCGCCCCGCCCTGCTTGCCTTATCCCGACCCCTTTAAATGTTTGTGCATCCTTGTAAAATATGTTGTTTCTAACTCGCACAACTGGTGTGGTAGTATAACTTGTCACCCTGTACTCTTAAGTTGCTTGATCATTGTCTTGTCTTCACACAGTTATTTTCTGCAGTATTCCAGATGGGATACCCACACGCCATTTGTCACCTGGCTAGGCTGCCAATAAGGTACAGATAATACTCAGGGTTAGGGTTACTCACCTTAATTTTAATTAAACTCTCAGAACCTGGACTTCGTCAACAAAACAGGAATTTCTCTTATGCGGGACCAGGGTGCTGAGCCAATGGGAGGATGTGTTTATAGGAGTCCAGTGCCTTGCAGTTTATGTGGGATCAGAAATCAGGTCTTTCTCCATGACGTAATGATGGACTGTATCACACGATGAATTAACCAAACCCAAACATGCATTTTCCCCAGAATTGTGCCACAGTCTGCTCGGCCATGTCTGCTGCTACCAGACTAGTTTTAGGACAGAATCCACTACTATAGCTCTCTTGGGGCGTTGATTCAGAAGGCTGTGCCACCATCCTAACCCGCCTGTTCTTGCTCCTTACCCTGATACGCCCGTCCGTGTCAAAGAGCATTACCGCTGCATCTTTACCTTGCCAGTTTTGAGGTATTTTTGTACAAGGTCCATACTTTAAAATGCTGTCTGCACAGTAGAAAAACTAGTCAGCGTGGTCTTAGGAACCCCAAATTTATGTCCAAGTGTTTAAAAGAAACAAGCAGTTAATGAAAAAAAAGAGGGTATATATAGGTTTAAAGAGAGTAAATAAGGGTGGTGTATGGGAGGGGTTAGGGGTGTGTGTGTGTGTGTGTGTGTGTGTACTTACAATCTCAAAAAGCAAAATAATTTAAGAAAAAGAAGTGAGCAGTGTAAATGAGGGCACTTACTGATGAAGGCCCCCTTTGTAATTGGGCTCATTTTATATCTGATTACAAGGCCACAATTTTGTGGATAAATGGGCTTTAAATAGGGACTTCCTGTAAGCCCTTGTGCGGTGTTATGAATAAACCTCCAAAACACATGCCAAGTAATATAATTCAGAGCCAAAAGAACACACATTAAATATTACCAAAGATGAAGGTATTTGTCAATAGACAGCAGAAGCAGGGGTTAACCAGGGAAATAGAGACGTGGCGTTGAGGGAGGGGCGTAGCATTTTGGGGGTGCTTCTAAGTATTGATCTGCACAAGTCAGGTTAAAAAAAACCCATCCCCCTGTCAGTTAAACTAAACCCGTCAGTTTGAGTGTTTTGAGCCCCAGAGCTTCGCAGGCTACAACACCACCCCCTAATGTGATGGCGGAGAGGAGGCAAGACGACCAGAGCATGGGGTGCTTACTATCTTTAAAAGCAACGACCACAGTTCCCCAAGAACTGGGTTACTTCCATCAAGACCAAGTCCCACGGTGTATATACTCCCCCTCCTTTACATGGCCATCTCCCCTCTCCAAAACGATGCTGGGACATCTCGTTACAGCCACAGAACAGGAAGTAGACCAGGACTGCAGGTGGGATTCGTATTTGTGGATCACACCTTCAGCAAAACTAGATGAGGTTACTTTGGTAATTCAGGATGGACAAGCCCTGTGGACAGGGACATCGTCTTTGCTAGCATCCCCAGTTGCTGGTCGACACGAACAGCCACCCCACCCCTCCTGTAACTCTCCATCCCTTCTGTACAAGCGTTTCATGCCTCTGACACCACACAGTCCCAGCAATCTGTCAGATGTCTTCATAGCTCATCTCCGCGCTATGCTAGACACTGAAGAATGCAAAGGTTTTTCCTTCATTCTGGATTTTGCTGCATGGCTACAGCTTTTTTTTTTCCTTTCATTTGATTCTGGGGAAAGAAAACAAAGGGCAGATATTTTCAGGTGCATATTTTGATCCAGCTGGTGTTTTGTGTAAAAGGATGTTGGAATGCATCTGTAGTCACTTGGGAACAGGAGGGGGACACCCATGGTGGTGGTGGGGGGCTTTGCTTTATAAAGCAGTGTTACAGACTCATTCTTCTGGGGGAGGGCTGGGCCCCCTGGCATCCTGAATCCCCACGCTAGAATCTGGATATTTTGTTTCTCTATCAGGCCATTTTACCCTTTCTTCTGGCTTCAAAGAGTTTAAAAACATGTTTATGAATTACTTACCTTTGTGGAACCTATTAAATTAGAAGCCTCTTCTCTTAATATAGCGAGTAGATTAAAACTTGAGTAATTTCATGGTCTGCAGAATCAGTGAAATGTTTATTTGATTCGGAAAGGCATCCTATAACATGTATTCATAAACCAAAAGTGTGTTTGTTGTGAACAAGGAATTACTGTTTGTTGGCAGGAGGGTGGCATTGGAGAGGGTGCTGGCAACCTTGTCTACAAATAATGAAGCCATCGGATGCTACCCACATGCTCTGGGTCTTGGGGCAGCATCAAGCCCTGCATCAGAGGGACCGAGCTCACTGTGAGAGAACAGTCACTGTTGAGAGTCCGAAAAACCCTGCATTGAACACAACACAATCCTTGGCAGATGTCCACTTCCCCACTCTCTCGAAGGGTGGGGCTTGTTGATACCCACTGATCATGACTGGTTATGCTCTTGCAGTGAGCCAGGCCCTGTCAGAGCCACTGTCTGACTGAATTCTCACAAGGGCTCTGAAGGCAATTCTATTTCGGGGGATAACACTCCATCGATGTTCAAGGAATCCAAGACATTTAAATCTTATCGCCATGCAAAGGAAACAATTATCTCTCCACTCTAGTGGTGCAATATTTGAGGTTCAGGGGCCTTGAAACTTGTCCATAGATCACACAGCTATGAGTTGCAGGGGTCAACTCAAACTGAGTACAGTTTAAAAACAGAATCTTAGGTTTCACCTACCTCGCTGTCCATGCTCCTGTCACCACCAGCGACAGACAGAGAAGCAAGATGGGGCCATTTCCTGGGGCTGGAGTAGAGGCTGAAGACATACTATCCAGCCACAGGGGTCATAAATGGGTAAGAAGAGGAAACTGATTAGGCACCTCCATGGATTATAAATGTGGTGTGTGTGTGTGTGTGTGTATGTGTGTGTGTGTGCATGCATGATTATGTGTTTGTGCATACACTCATGGGTACATATGTGAGAGTCTGTAGAATTGCAGCTGGGTGACTGCCATGGCTGTGTGGTGTCCAGGAGGGTGGGATAGGAAGGTTCCTCATTTATGTTCCAGTTTTGTCTCCCACTTCCATGACGGCTATTTTCTCATCACAGGAGATTCTGGAGCCAAAGGAAGGTGGCTTTCTCCTTCCAGGAAGTTACAGTGTTTGAGCAGTGACAGGCAGACACCTGGAGCTGCTGGCGTAGCCAAGGAAGTGGGTTCCAGACTCAGCAAGAGATTCCATCGTCTCAGTAGTTAAGGTGGTGAGCAATCAAGGAAGACACACCTCATATTAACCTCTGACCTCCACACTCTATGGCACACTCATCTGCACGCATACAAGCAGACACATGAGCTCAAATATACCTCTGTCTCTCTCTCTCTCTCTCTCTCTCTCTCTCTCTCTCTCTCTCTCTCTCTCTCTCTCTCTCTCTCCCTTCCTCCATTCCTCCCCTCCCTGCTTGGCTCTCACTCCGTACTGCCCTTGAATTAAGTTCCAAGAGACAAACTGCTAATTATTAACCTTTACTCTTGGGGGTCTCTAGGTTTCATAGATGCCGGGATTTCTTCGTGTTGCACCCAGCTGCAGGCGGACTCGTTGGAATGTCACTCCCCCTGGGACCCAGAGGTGGATGGCCTCCAGATGAACAAACCCTTGGCCCCTGTGATAATGGGCTGTTGTGGGGGAGGGATTTTGCTTTTGGTTGTCCAACTACTACTGGGTCCCACAGCTGTTCGCAAATGCATCCGTAATGATAGCGAGAGACTATGCCTTGGTTAGGAGCCACAAAACACATGGGGTCAGTAGCCTCATATTTTTTCTCTGTGTGACGTTATCACATTCAAGACATTTTCACAAGACAGCAATACCCGGACCAGCTACAGGAGGAATGGCCAAGGTCCTCAAACCACACTGCTTTCTGTGGTCTGTTTCAGTGTCAGTTGCTACAGCTGTGCCTTCTGGACTTAGGAAATAATTGGTGTGCAACTGCTGTGGCCTTAGGAAGTGCAGCCACACAGGAAGAGGAGTGAGAGGCAGCCGGTTGTACCTGTCCCCAAAGTTGAGCAGAGCAGAGCTGGGCGGGGCGGAGCGGGGCGTGGCCGAGCTTTAGGGAGCAGAGCAGAGCACACTGGTTTTATCACGGTGCTGATTAACCTACATTGCTCCCAGAAGCTTCCCGTGTGGGACGGAAAGAAGTCCACAGCTTTCCAAGAGGTTCCTTATGACACAGTGTGAACTAATGATTCCAACAAGATTTTTTTTTTATTCTCCGTTGTGTGCTGGTTATTGAGTAACGCTGCCTGAGTTCCAACCCTGACCCTGTCACTGGGGACAAAGCAGTTATCCTTCCTGCACGACAATTTTTAAAATTATAAATTTGATCTTATTGTATTTTGGATATAACAAGACGAGAGCTTCCACTGGTGTAGGGAAAAGGGTTTGGTGGACTCAGTGAAATATTTTAGAATGTTAAATATGCATACGTGCAAGAGAGAGGGGGAGAGACGGGGTTAGAAAATGGTTTAAGGGGATACATTTGAAACCAACTTAAAGGACACAACAGTAGATCTGAAATGTCAACGTTAGTCTTATTAAGCAGGAACTGAGGAAGGGCCACGGAGGAGCACTGCTGACCGACTTGCTCGTCTATCTTCTTTATATATTCCAGACCTACCGGCCCATGGATGGCACCTCCCATGACAGACTAAGCCCTTCTGCATCAATTGTCAACCGAGAAAGAAAAACCCTCACAGACAGCTTGATGAAGGCTCCCTCTTTCCAGGTAAGTCTAGGTTTGTGTCAAGATGACAACATCCACGGTACCTACCTTGTGTACAATAAAAGCGGTGACACGCTAAGGGTCTAACACCATAGGCTTGAGCACCTTGCCCTCATGGTTGTAGAACATCAGGGGGAACACACACACACACACACAATCCCTACTCATGCCCATCGGGCTTTCCCTAGGTTCCTGGGGAGATGTTCCCAGAAATCGCCAGCATCCTTCCTCTTCTATCTCCTCATTGTCCTCTTCCCCTAGGTTAGCTGTCTGGGTGCTTCACCATGGTCACTGAGGAGCGCAAGGAGATTGCTCTGTTAATCATTTCTTCACCAAGGGAAACATGTCCCATCACCCAGTGTCTGTACTCACAGTGCGTCTGATGTCAGCTTTCTTCCCAGAACCAACCCTAGAGAAATCGCAGAAGCCAAATGGAAGGACAAATTCCAGGGACATTTTAGAAAGTAGGAAAACCCTGGTTGTACCAACCTTGGTTGTGTTGAGAACCTGGGTTGTATGTAATTCTAAGCACATTAAAAAATGTCTGGAAGTCCTGTGTGTAACTTATGCATACAAAAGGCAGGTGGCTGGAGGCAGACATGAAGGGATAAGTCATTGAGGCTTCGGGGACCTCTCAGGGGTGATATGTCGGTGGATAAGAGAAATGATCCAAGTATCTACTACAACCCACAGTTAAAATTCTAGACAACCTATTGGGAGTAGCCCAGAAGGACATGACAACCTGCTCGGATAAGTGTCTGTTAACACAAAGATACTGTTCAATTAAAAAGTCGGTAGAGCTTAAATAAACAAAAAACTTAACTAGAAGCCAAACAAGAGAGGACAAAACCAGGAAGCTTAGCTTCTAAACCAGCAAAAGAAAGCTTAGTCTTCCCAAAGAAGCAAAAAGAAAAGAGGAAAAACAGGGTAAATACAAATAAACATGAGGTCGAATGGCAGAAATGACGCTTACCATGATAGAAGTCAGTAAATGTAAATGGGCAAGATTTGAAAAGCAATGGCAGTTTATGGTTGGGTTTAGCAGAAACAAGTTAGTACTGATTGCCCTGCAAGACAATGCTTGAAACAAGCAAACACCCCAGAGAAAGTGTGGAATAAGTGAAAGGAAATTTTTAAGTGAGAGAAGTCTTAAAATCTGACCGAAAATATGTCCCAACAATCCCAAGGGCAGTGGGGGCTGGGGAAATGGCTCAAGGCAATGCCTGCTTACCTGACAAGCCAGAAGACCTGGGTGTGATGCTTAGAACACACACACACACACACACACACACACACACGCAGACACCGTGATGTCACTCTTGTAATCCCTGTGCTAAGCAGAGTCTACCCTACTTGGTGAATTGCAGGCCAGTAAGAGACCTTGTCTCAAAAACACAAGGTAGACAGCTGAGGTCATTCTCCGGTCTCCATGTATACCTACACACATGGCATCCATGAAAAAGGGTGATGGAGGCATAAAGTCAAACAAGCCACAGTACCAGTTTGTGCACATACAAAATGCAACCATGCTTTATTTAAGAAAAGGTGACAGAACATTAGACAAAGCAATAGCTTCAGTTTTCAGTTGAGATGACATAGTCTCGGACTGTAAGAATCAGCTGCAGATTGAAGAGGGCAAACACGTGTCTCAAGTAGAAGTGCGATGAGGCAGAGATCTAGATACTTATCTTCCAACCAGCTCCAGGAAATGGACTATGTTTTAAAACATTGAGATCAGCGCCTTCCTTCGTACTGGAAATCGAAAGAAAATGTTACCATAAAGTGCTGAAATAAAATAGCTGACCATCTAGGATGCTATCGTTGGCAAAAACAAATGCCATTCCAAATTAAAACCATTGACAACAGATTCAAATAGACTCTTGTGCAACAGGAGACACGTAAGTGGTCAGTAAACACACTTAAAATGTCTTCATGCCATCAGGAATAGGAAAATGAAAACCACACTGCAATGCCAATACACATAGCCAGGGTGATAATTACATCTCTTAAATGTCAGACCTGAGAGTGCTGAGGTTGCAGAGTGACGGAAATGCTTATTAATGTTGGATGGGAATATAAAATAAAATATAAAATGAAGCATCTGACAGATTTGGTGGGAAAGGTCTCACAGTTGTGTGTGTGTGTGTGTGTGTGTGTGTGCGCTCGCGCGCGCTAACCTGAATATATGCCCATGTGCCAGTCATTTCATTTCTAGGCATCTACTCAAAATAAATGAAATGAAGTGTTTACCAGAAGATTAAACAAGCATATTCAGTCACTAATATTTTCATTGCAAACATCAAAACCCTCAAATAGCACAACTGCCTTCCAATAAGAGAATGAAAAAACAAACTGGCAAGAACAAAGGGATACTGAGTGACAGTCATAGTGAGTCCTACTGAGCTTGCTACTGAGTGACAGTCTTAGTGAGTGCCACTGAGCTTGCTACTGAGTGACAGTCATAGTGAGTGCCACTGAGCTTGCTACTGAGTGACAGTCATAGTGAGTCCTACTGAACTTGCAACAACATGCATTTATCTCCAGAAACGCTATGTCATGTAAATGTTTTCCACAGAAGGCTGTATACTGTACATTCACCATAAAGACCTTACACTTCTCTGAAGTGTGTGAGAGTGCTTATGATTTATAACACTGAAAAGGGGTGTTGTAATATTACTAAGCTTTAAAGTCCATAGACTAAACAGAGTGATGCCCTGTGCCTTGTTGTGGAATGATACAGCAAGATAGGGATTCTGCCCATGTTAACCTATAAATTAAATATAACTGAGATAAAAATTCCAAGTGTATTTTTTTTGTTTTTTATGAGACAGGGTTTCTCTGTTTGGAGGCTGTCGGTCCAGCCTGGCCTCGAACTCACAGAGATCCACCTGCCTCTGACTCCCGAGTGCTGGGATTAAAGGCGTGTGCCACCAACGCCCGGCCCCAAGTGTATTTTTAATTCAACGGTATTATGTTTAATTCTGTGTGGAAGAATAAACATTCAAGAGCAACTTAGTCAATTTTGAAAAATAAAAAACTAATGCAGCATATTTCTTACTTGATGGGGGAAGTCCTTCTGTGTATATGTTTGTCTTATACATCTGAATAAAGCACTGTTGGCCAATAGGCAAGCAAGATAGGTGGGACTAGAAGTCGAGGTGGAATCTGAGAAATTTAGTCAAGAGTAAGGGGTCGCCATGTGATCTCGGGAAGATAGGATGCATAAGACTGTGTCCTCGGTAAGATAAGTTATTATAGAAATACATATTAGTAATTATGGGTTAATAATTAAGGCAGAGCTAGCCATTAAGAAACCATAGCAAACGGCCAACAGCTTCATAATTAATACAGCGTCCTGTGTGTTCATTTGGGACTGACGCAGCTCTGGGACCAGGCTGACGGGAAGAGTACACATTACGCTTACTCAGTAGTATAGTAATAAACACATGGTGATGCGGTAGCCCCTCCCCTTATCTACAGGGTATGTTTGCCAATATCCCCAGTACATATACTGAACCTATATGTACTATGCTTTCCCCTACGCATATGCTCTTATAAGTGAGGCACAGTAAGATATTAACAATGATGGCTGGTAATGGCATTGAGCAACACGCTGGAATAAACATTATGTAAATGCAGTCTGCCTCTCAAAGGAACCAAGGAAACCAATAATATCTTTAAACTACATTTGAGTGCAGGGCGTAAAGCATGCCTATATATATATATATATATATATATATATATATATATATATATATATGGGAGGATATCTGCAATAATATACACTGTTTATGCAGGAATAAAAACTTTCCCAAAATAGGAGGCTTTCGGGAAGGTCCACAGGGATGCGTGAGATGACGTCCACGGCTCACGCAAACTCACAGGTCTCCCGGGGAAAGGAAGGTGCTCCATGGGCGATGTTTGTGATGCAAGATATCTAAGTGGGGGAAAGGAGGTGAAATTCCTCCCTTGATACTGTGTAAAAGCAATTCAGACACATCAGATGTGAAATTAAAACATGGTAAATATCAGATACAGATGAGGAGGCTGCCTTTGCAGCCAAAGGACAGAAGGCTTCTTATCCAATGCCAAAGACCCAGCGGGCACATCTGGTTCTCCCTGTGTCCTACGTCCCTGCCTCTGCCCCAAGGCTAGGTGACCAAGATTTCCTCCTATTGAATCAGTAGATCCATTCAGATACGTAAGAGTCAGGTGTCTGTTTTGGTAATATCTGTTTAGAGCAATCCCCGGTCTGAAATCAGCTGAAACGCAACATCATTTCATGAGTGTATATTTGTAATATATTTAAAATAGAATACCAACATTGTGTAAGAAAACAAACATCGTCTTCTACAGCAAGCCCCCAGCATCCACAAAGGATTAGTTCTATGACCTTTGAGTATCAAAATCCATAGATGCTTAAGTCCCTCACACAAAATGTCACATTATTTGAGTGGTACCTATATACACATTCCCATGTACTTTAAACCACTCCATTTACTCGCAGTATCAAATTCAATGTGAATTCTATAAAAATAATCCTCCTACCATGTGTCCGAGAGAATAATGACAAGAAAAAAATTCATGCAAGCAGAAGAAAAACAAAACATGTAATTTTGATTTACTGTTAGTTGAGCTCACAGACATAGAACCCACAGAGAGAGAGAGGGTGGACTTAAAAGTCATGGCCGTATATGTGACGGTTGGCTCTTGGAAACCTCTTTCTCGTACTGGATTGCCTTGCCCAGCCTAAATACAAAGGGGAGGGGGGTGCTTAGTCTTACCTCAACTTGATAGGCCATTCTTTGTTGACACCCATGGGAGGCCTGTCCCTTTCTCAACAGAAGCAGAGGAGGAGTAGATGGGGGTAGGGAGTGGAGGGGAGGTGGTGGGAGAGGGAATGGGAGGAAAGGAGGGAGAAGAAATTGTGACCAGCATGTAAAATAAATAAATTAAATAGTTAATTTGAAAAGTTTTGGCTGGCTAGCTTGCATGTGCTCAGAGGTGTTGTGCAGGCTCTGGGTGAGAAAACTCATGGACGCCTTCACCCAGCCGTGACTCTTGTGTGTTCAATACCGACCTGTCAGAGAAGGCATGCTCACTCGTGCAATCGTGGGATAACTACTCCTTGATTGGATTTGAGTCCTTTGAGGCCCTCTTCACAAAAGAGGTACTTGTGGTTGGGGGCATCAGAGACCCTGGGGATAAATTTAACTAGTGTTATTCTGCTAGGATGGCAAATTAAAATTATTCCAAATATGTATGTTTATACCCTTAGATAGACAAGTTCTACTCTCTATTCTGATCCCCCCCCACAAAAAAGAAGACCCACTTCTCTTTATAGTTAAATGGTGGTGAATACAGAGACTTCTGGCTGCTCAAGATCCTGATAGGTGACTATTGGATGGTCATTCATAAATATGACCTTTATTTTTGCCTCCTGTAAAACTCAGAAAGCATCAAGGAAGCAGGTAGAGTGTAAGGGGGATGGCAAGAAGAAGGCCTACAAAATGCTAACTTCCTGGCATAATGCAGCTATTGAGTCGAGAACTCATGGCAGATCAAGTTGTCTGCCCTGGGTCTGTACAAGTGTGGGAACAACAGACGGAGGCCCACTTCCCCATCAGCCTGGGAGCAGGCAGCTGTAAGACAATGTTTACTAAGAACAATATGGTGCCCAGAGCAATAAGTTCCTGATAAGGGCTCGCCCACAGGAACACCCTGACCTTGACCTTTTCCAAAGACTAACCGCCTCTTCCTGATCCACCTACCACCACCTCTGGTGTCAGGGCATATATAACCAGCCAGGGTAAGAATAAAGTAGAGCCTTCTTGAGGAGCCTTCTGAAAAGCCTTCTTGAAGTTTCCTTTGCACCACCAACTGGTCTCTGTGTCATCAATCCTGACACCCTGCGCACATTCTTGGACATAGGCTGGGCAGAGGGCTCGACATACACGTCCGGTCCTGTTCCCAGTCAGTCATGGAAAGGATGACGGGCATCTGGGGACTGGCCCTCTCTTAGGAATGGTTGGCTACTTATGGATGCTGAGGAAAGAGGTGTCATTGTCTTCAGTTGTTGGCGTACCCATTGTTAAATCTACAAGACTTCAGTGGATAGTTCCACACCCTCGGTCATATGGGTAGCTCTGGATAAACTCAGGGAGTCAGTCACTGAGCAAAACAAAATATGTGAGTGTGAGAAAGGGACTTGTAGAGAGGAGGGATCGATGGGGGACAGGGGACAGATGAGAGAGGAAGGAGAATAATCAGGAAGCTGTCAGATGACGCAGTTAACTTGAAAAAGCACAGGAAGAACAAGTGCCGAAACAGGAGCAACAGACCCGCTTTGGTGGTAAGAAAACGTGCTGTTTGCTCCCTCTATGGATTTCCATGCATTTAACAAAATCTCTGCACTGACAAGGTAGTGCCTTTATCATTGCAGGGTAATGGGCCAGTGGAATGGGACACTACCTTCAGTATATGTGTAGTAGCATTGTCCTGGAAAACAACAAAGGACCACATTTGGTCTTCACTTCCAAACATCATGCTGAACATTCAGTAACTGCTGGACTGAATTAACTCATTGACCCTGAAACCACATTCCCCAGGGTCTTCTAGGAACAGAAAAACACATGAACCTACCTGGAAGCATGTGTGTACTTCTTGTTTCTAAGCCAGCACACACACACACACACACACACACACACACACACACACACACACACAAATACACAGTGCACACACACACATACACATGCACACATACAAACACACACATACACACACGTGCACACACGCACACACACATGTGCACATATACACAAACTCTCTCTCTCTCACACACACACACACATACACACACACACTCTTCTGGACTCTGGAGAACCTTTACTTGGCCCTGAGAACCGCCCTCATGACACATCTACTTTGACCATCTTGGGGATTTCTGACCTTACATGCGTTTCATTCCCCCAAGTTCCATCATAACTAAGGGTACAAGGGGCTAGTTGATTCTATTTAAAAACAGGTCTCTACTTAAATGAAGTTTTCCCCTTTAAAAAAAAACAAAACATACACGCACATGTTTGCATCCAAAACTTTATCAATGACAGACATAAATGTCCTGCCTGCATTAACGGATTTGAAGTCTAACGAGAAATTCCAAGGTCAGCGATCATGTGGCTGACCTCGGTGTGGTGTATTAGGCACCCATGGAAGGATCCACTAGCTCTAGGTTATATGCTTATGTACTGTTTTAAACAAAGACTGCCTTCCTTAGGTTTGACGTGGTTTCCTTACAAATCTGCATTTGGAAAGAGGACTGAATGTGTTAAATGCATACAGAGGAGGCAAGAATGGGAGGAGAGGAAACCTGATCAGCAACTCTAGGGCATGTTTGCAAGACTGAGCATCCCTCCACAGGAAGGAAGTCTGTACTCTGCATCTGTTTTTCTGGATTATTTTTAAAAGCACTCTAGTAGGCTAGGAGGTTTCAGAACAGCTGTGGCCCCCTTTGTCTCTTCCCCCCCTCCTCCCTTTCTTTCTCTCTTCTTGAATTCTTCTTTGGTGATTTAACTATGACAGCTCTGTCTGTGTAACAGTCTACAGCCTGATGTTTTAAAGATTGAAAGGAAATTATTTCCCCTCGCATCAAGGAACATACACCTAAAATTGAAGTGTGTGTGCTTACACTCACACATGCGCACACACGCACCAGCCCATTTAAAACCCAACACAAATACAACATTTAAAAAAAAAAAGTCACTAGCATTAAATTGCAAAATAGAAGAGATGCAATTGGACAGACCAGGTTAAACAT